CCGCCTCATCCCGGGCCGGCCCCCCTCTGCGGTCCCAGCCATAGGCTTCCCACACACGGATCTGCCAATGCCCCTCAGTCCAAGCTCTATTGTTCCTCTCTCTGGATCCTCCCCCGGTGCAGACAGACCATGGCCTCTTGAATCCGAGGCGAGCACGCTTTGAGACTGAATGCGCTCGCTCACCTTTGAGAGTTGCTCCACGTAGCCAGATAGCGTGGTGCTGTCCCACCCCCTTGTGCCCTCATTCCATCAGCACTAGCCAGATGGCGGTTGTGTCCAACTGCTGCTGCTCCTCCTCCTCTTCGGCAGGATCCACTCCAAGCTCCACACGGCGATTGTCAAGCCCCACAAGTGTCCTCACTGCTCCAAGAGCTTCGCCAACACATCCTACCTGGCCCAGCACCTCCGCATCCACTCGCGGGCTGCCGCTACTGCCAGAAGGCCTTCCGCCAGCTCTCCCACCTGCAGCAGCACACACGGTAAGGGCCAGAGGAGGCTGGGGGCCCGGCCCTGGCCCCCCGCGCTGCCGGCATGCACCTGTGGAGCACGCGCGCCAAGCATGCGGGGGGCGGGCGGGGAACGCGGCCAGCTGCGCCCCGCGAGGAGGTGGCCCACCCGAGTGGACGGAGCGGAGGCTGCGCAGGAGACACCATGTCAGGGCAGACGTGGGCACATGCTGGCCCTGGGCATCCTTGGTCTTGCACCGTGGGGGGCACAGAGAGAGAGCCATAGAGAGAGAGGCATTGGCCGTAAGGGATCCCAGCCCGGCACCACGAGGGTTGGGCTTTGTGACTGAGTGTGTGGAAGCTTCTGGCATTGCAGGGGGATAGGGACAGACATGCTAGGTGACTTCAGCCTGACAATATGAGGGGAAAAGTGGCTTGAGCGTGATTTGAGCTCTTTTCAAGGCATTGTGGGAAGCGGGAGATGATATTCCTCTCGGTCATACGGGCCACCTGAACTGGGAGCCAGGAGCCTTGGCCTCTGGACCCCTTCCCAGCATCCTTTCAGGTGGCCCATATGCTGAGCTGGCCGCAGACTCATGAGCTCTTGCTTCTCATTCTCTGAACTCTGCTTGACCGCATATCTTCTGTAACACCTAGCTGGACACAGGGGCTAGGCAGAGCTCTCTTTGTCCAGTTAGAACAGCGTCTGGAGGCAATATCATCCCCTACCCTGCTCTCCTGTGTGGCTGTGAGACTTTGATCACGGCACCAGGCCCTGGTAGTCTGTCCTGCCTGGCTGCTCACTCCCTCCCATTTGTGCTCTTCCTTCTTGACAGTATCCACACCGGGGATCGACCCTACAAATGTGCTCACCCTGGGTGTGAAAAGGCTTTCACCCAGCTTTCCAACCTGCAGGTAAGGCGTAGGGCTCGCCCTGCACACCCGTGGGGGAGGCGAACACGGCTGTCGAGCGGGTGGAGCAACTTCTGCCCTGTTGTGGAAGAGAGGGAGGGATTGGGGCAGCTGGAGAGAAAGCAAAAGGGTAATGAGAAGCTGATGATGCATTGGGGGAATGATTTATGGCTCTTCTGCACCCCGAGAAATCACAAAAAGAGTTCTGCTCTGCAGCATGGTAAGCTTGACCTGAAAGTATAGAGACTTGGTAAAGCTGGACTCCTCTCTCTCCCATCTGTTCTCTGAAGTTTTCTGACTCATCTGAAACAAGGCTTTTGCTAAACATGAAAGGTGGAATAAAACAGGAGTGTCTAATAGTATTTTATTTTACAATGAAAGGAGGGGCTGTGAGAATAGGAATTAGGGAAGTAGAGGTGGTGTGCTCTATTCCAGTACCCCGGAGGAAGGCAATTGTAGGAGATGCCAAGTAGCAAAGAGCTGTAAATGCTCGTGAACATCTAAAACAGATTCTACTCTCAAGGGCAGTGACAGATGTGGAGAGTAAAGGTGTCAAGAGGCAGAAGAGGAAAGAAAAAAGGAGAAGACTGAGAATTGGGTGAAGACTGAGATGGGGGTTGTGGAGAGTTGGGTTACTCCCCTCTTCTAATGTCTGGTATGCCCAAGGAAAAGTGGCATCTGTGGGGAAGATGTGGGCTGGAGACAAGAGCTCTGTGTCCTACCCTAGGAGCCAGGCGCGTATCACTCTGTGCCGGGGCCTGGGAAACTTGGAAGGAGAGGTAAAGCTATCCCTAGTATTAATGTAGTATTAATTTTCGGCACTTGCTTTCTCTTTTCCCTGCCCTGCTGCTATCACCCCAGTCCCACAGACGGCAGCACAACAAAGACAAACCTTTCAAGTGCCACAACTGCCACCGCGCGTACACGGATGCTGCCTCGTTGGAGGTGCACCTGGCTACGCACACGGTGAAACACGCCAAGGTCTATACCTGCTCCATCTGCAGTCGGGCCTATACCTCGGTGAGTGTTTGCACCACAGAGCTGCCGGAGCACAAGTGGAAGGAGCTCCTCCAGGTCCCATGGGAGCAGCCCCAAAGGCTGCTGCATGCCTCCCTGTTGGCTTTTATAAAAGTCATCCCCTCCTCTCGTGCTGTTTTTCCTGTTGCAGGAGACGTACCTGATGAAGCACATGCGGAAACACAACATCCCTGACCCGCAACAGCAAGTGGTCCAGGCCCAAGCGCAGGCCTCGCAGCAGCAGCAGCAGCACTTCCAGCCCCAGGGTGGTGGGGCAGCAGGGGCCCCTTCTGGAGACACTAACCAACCCAACCCTCCCCCGCAGTGCTCCTTTGACCTGACTCCTTACAAGACTTCAGAGCATCACAAGGACATCTGCCTCACTGTCAGCACCAGCGCCATCCAAGTGGAACACCTCTCCAGCTCCTAGAGAGACCTTGACCCAGAGAGCAGAAAGCCTCTTGTGCATAGCCGGTGCCCAGGGGCACTGCTTGTGCAGCGGCCCTCCTTGTGCAACAGTCTCTGGCCTCTCTTCCTGCAACAGCCTCTTCTGGCTGTGTAACCCTGTTCATGGCAGCCCCTTGAAGAACAGCGTGGCTCAAGGGGTGCTCCTTCTGTGCAGCAGACTGCCTGGTAGGAGGATGCTTCCTTGTGCAAGAGCCCTTTCCTGTGCTGGGATCACTTCCTCATGCAAGAGCCCCTCCTGTCAAACCCAAAGAAAAGGCCCCCGTTTTGCCTTCTCTCTCACTGTAGGATGTGTCTGAAGGAGGGGTGCCTGTTGAGTCATGCATGGTGGATGGGATGAAGAGAGGGTCCTTGTATGTACAGGGGCTCGGATACTTGTTTTCCGCAGGCCACAGAAGAAGGGTTCACAGCTGGGTGGGGGGGTTTGGGGATTTCCTGAGTGTCTAAGAGAGAGATATCCATTCCTGTCCCTCCTGCTTGCAAAGGGGAGGAGGCCCTGCCCTGAGGACTGGATGGGAGAAAGCGCCTCCCCAGCGGCACGTGGGGCTGGGCACAGCGGGGAAGGGCATGGGGTGAATTCTCTAGACCTGACAGGGGCCGGAGCTGCCTGAGGGCTCCAGAGCATTGCACTCTCTTTGCTGCCCTCGCGGAGAGCAATAGAGAGGAGTCCGAGGCGGCTGCCCCTCCTTTCCCGGCTGTCTGAGGAGCGAGATGGCCCAGGCTCTGTAGGAGTGTGGGTTCCTTGCTCCTTGCTCTCCCTGCCTGTCGGATGATGTGCTAGCAGCCTGTGCTCCTCCTCTTCTCCCTCCTCCTCCCATCCTCAAAAGAGCCTGCAGGCATCAACAACAAACCAAAAAGCGACTGGAGGGAGGGTAAGAGACTGCCAAAATAATCATCACCCTTCTCTCTGCGCCCTTCCTGGAAAGGTGGAGCAGCAGTTCTGACGTGTGTGCTGCCCCCAGTTTCCCAAAGGGAAGGAGGAGGAGGAATAGACCAGTCTTTCCAAGGAGTCAGCAGGAGGCAGGGAAGGGGTAGCTTCTCTTCACTTCCCATCGGAGTGCTCTCCCGGGTTCCCTCTTGCCAAGACGGGCTGGACTCACATGGCAGTGGTGGCCTCTTCTGGACCCTGGTAAGGGGAGAGAATCCCCAAAAGGTGGACAGTGGAGAGAAGGGGATGAAGATCCCCACAGAGACCAATCTAATGAGAAGGGGGAGCCAACAAGAATAAACTGAAGGCCCCTTGAATTTATATATATATATATATATATATAAATATCTTTTCCCCACCCTGGCCCGCTCTGTCCTTGCTGTAACTTGTTTCTATCTCTGTGTTTATAAAACGCATAATCCTGGCAAATTTTTATTTTCAATCTTCGTTTGTTTTTCCCTCTCTCTTCGTCTTCAATTCTCCTTCCCTTTTTTTTTTTTTTTTGGTCCACATGACTACTGGTCTTGTGTCACTTGTTAGTTTATTTGGATCATGGAGGCTGACTCAGAAGAGAGTGAGAAGACAAGGGAAAAAAGCATGTGCTGTTGGGATTTAAAAACAATCACCCACCCAAAGCCTACAGACCCCTCAACTTCTGTATGAACAACCAATAGGGGCTTTTTTTAACCACCTTGTATAGAAATAAATTGGTGTAAAAGGCTTCGTGGAGGTGCTGTGTGAGCACCCTGCCCCTGTGACGTGTGTTCCTTCCCTGTGCACCAGGACAGTGCATGAGCACCTGCTGGGGCGCCCGGGCGGCTCTGCGAGCGGGAGAGGAGCCTGGCCCTGCCCAGGCAGCTGGGTGGCCTGGCCGGGCGAGCTGGAGCTCTGCACTTTGCTCCGTGTGCAGCCCGTGGTGGGAGCTGCTCCTGCGTGTGCCAGGCTGCACCGCAAAGGGTGCAAGTGTTCATAGGGTCGTAGCTGAGGCTAGAAGCTGTCTGATCTGGCTTGCTGCGTTTCATGGGTGACACATCGATCCATTTATCCCACATCGAGCCCCAGTAACTAATATATATTTGAGGTTTGTGTTAGTGAGATGCATTGGCTTGATCTTGAGGCACTGGGATGCGAGAATCTATCCCTCCCATTAGTAGCCTCCTGCAGAGGCTTCATGTTCTGTTTAATGTTGAACCTAATTTCTCTTGCTCTGAATTTGCTTGACTTTGTCTTCCAGCTACTATACGTCCATCCCATTGTTTCAGGCAGCCTTAGAGCACAGTGGGTGTTTATCCTCTGGCCATGTACTTAAACACTGCAGTATCACCTCTCAGTCTCCATTGTGACAAGCTAAGCACAGGGAATTCCTTTAGTCTTTTCACTGTCAGGGATTTCCTCGAGCCCGGGAACTATTTTTCTGTTTTCTTTTGTTGCATTTCTTGTTGCATTTCTCAGTCTCTTGTGAGTGTTGATTTTGGAAGCCAGTGTTCAAGCGCCCAGTGCCATGGACATAGTCCCCCTGTCTTTTGCCTTACGTTTGCAGAGGGTTGAACTTCCCCTTTTCTCACAGCATTACCTGGGAGCTCACGTTAGCTGCCTGTCTGCTGTGACTCCTGGCTCAAGTCTCAGCTATCCGTGACAGTGATTTCCCCTTTCCGCAGGTATGACCTGAGTTCTTATTTCATTGATATTTAAACTTTATATTTGACTGTACTAAAGATCACTATGTTCAAATCGACCCGGCTTGCTTATGATCCACATTACTCACCATTTTGCCAGTTCTGTCAGTGTTTTTTACTTTCAGATCCATGTTGAAAATGCTACATTGCATTTGACCCAGACAAACTTGAAAAGCGTCATTCAGTGCAACCTTTTATTAGCTTCTTTTTGAGACTTGCACGCTAGGTATTTCTTAATCCTTTTCATGTGTGTTCTGTTGATTATGTACAGTAAAATTTTTGACTTATGGTGCTAGGTCAATGCCTTACAAAAATTTACGTATTTTGCACCTATGCAGTCCCCCCTGTCGAACCAAATGTATAATATTGTCATCAAAGAATGAAATTAGGTTTGTTTTTTTTTAAGAAAATCTATATTTCATAAAAACAAGTTGATAGTTTGGATTATAGGTTATATTTTCATTCATTAATTCCTCATCTCAACAGCTTTTCCATTATTTTGCCTCAGACTAATGTCAGTTTTCATTTGCCTTTTGGGAATACTGTTGTGAATGTCTTAATGGTATTTCTCGAATATCCCAAGATTAATTACAATTGGAATCAATGGGCTAGAAAGCTTGTTAGTTAACTCTTTTAGGACTCCTTGTTGTTTGCTGACTTAAAAATATATATCCCTAGATTCTGTCTAATCTTCTACTTTGATACTAAGGTACTGGAGATAAATTAGTATTTTCAAACTACTACCACATCCTGTTACTTTCTGCTATTTATTGACTGGTTTGCCCTGTCCGTGTCACTAGAAATGTCACCATTTTAATCTATGCTGTTGGTAAGATTTTGTTTCCTTTTTTACTTAAAGGAGCAAAAGATCCCAAATCCCTTTCCTACTTTCTGTAGTTATGCTAGCCACGGAGCTTTCCTTTTCAGCTTTATAACGCCTAATTTATATTGCTTGCTGTCTGGCCTTCCCCCTTTTCATGTGTTATATTTTGGCCTTTCTTGAAAAAAAAGAAGTTTGTAGTTACTCACAGACTTTCTTCACTGAACCCAAAATGAGCTTTCACACTTTCAAGTTCTTTCTTGATAGTGGAATTGGGGCTTTTTTTGGCCATACAAGAAGTTTTTCTTTAAAAGAATTTTCATTCACTTTTTTTTTTTTTTTTTTTTTCTCACGGGTGACTTCTGCTCACCTTTGGAAATTAGCTTTGTGAAGCACAGACTCTGTGTAGTTTTGTTACTGCTTGTGACTGTCCTCTGCATGTCCATATTCAATATGAGCTGGACATAATTGCTAATTTCCCCTTAAGTGACTCTTATCTGTTATGCATTGCATTGAAGCCCAGAAAGTTGAGTTTTTGGGTGCAGTATCTTTTGTTAAGAAAACTACCATTTAAAAAGTTGGAAACATATCTTGCCGTCTGGCTAAATATCCTGGGGAACATCTCCCAGGTTAAAACTCCTTGCAGTGTTTTTTTCAGTTTGTATGTTACAGCTGCTGGGAATCATCCCTCCTGGTCCCCGTTGTGATATGTTTGTTCCTGTCTGTACCCTTCTCCTTCTTAAATTGTTACCTAGCAGAGGGATCCATGTGTACTTTAAGGCTGTACAATCCCTGTGTTACCACTAATTACCAGTACTGCTGCCCGTGTTTGTGCAGTTTGTTCTTACTGTTTGTCCAAAAAGAAACTAAAGGTTTTTGTTTTTTACAATGGGACTTTCCCACCGAGTTTCAGAAATGACACTTTATTCCAGGCATTTTTTTCTTCATCAATAATAATTTCTTACTTCTCTGTTTACCCTGGCTCCTGTTGTTAGTATAATAATAGTATCTTACTTTCATTAACTCTGTCACTCATTTCTTTTCAGTTTGCATCAGGATTTCCTCTTTGCATTTTTGTGGATGTTCAATTTTACACCGTTAAAACACTTCAGGTAGTTTAAAAATGATAGGATGCAAGATATAACATCCAAAATTCTCCCCTATTGGGATGAAGCCTAACGTTCCACAATGAGAGTCTTTTGTTTTTCACTCTGTACAGCTCAATTACTTAATTTTCACTCACAAGAGTGGGATATTCCCCAAGAAGATGTCATGGTCTTTCCACTTCGGCAGCCTGAATTCTTAAGCCTTGTGTTTGGCTTGACGGTGCCAGTCCGTTTGTTCCTGTAAACTTGTGCCCACAATGCCCTGGATGATGACTTGAGTCCTGCCTTACGCTGCGTCTTGTGTCTTTGCTCAAAGGCAGTAGCCCTCCTTCTCCTTTATAGAGTCTGTTGTCCGTTCAGAGCTGGAGTTGGAAATTGTCACTGCTTTTAAAGGAAGGAGTCATGATGGAGGTTTGAGACTTAGGAAAGTCACCAACAAAATAGTAACTGAATCTCTGCTATGAGTAATTATAGTATTACTGATTTATAATCTTCAGGAAAGATTTCAGACTTAAATAATTAGAAGAATTTGGTTATTCAACCCTGTTCCTTATTAAAGGTTTTCTGTTGGTTATCATTGCCATTAAAAATGCCTTCTATTTTATTTAATTTTTTAATCTATAGGGCCTTGTTTTGCCTTTGTTCAGTTCATATTAAAGTCTTTTGCTATCAGAAATCTTTCTCTTTTCTAATGACTTACAGACCATGATCAAGTCACTCTATTCATCTTCCCAAACAGTGAAATTAAATTGAGCTGAGGTCCTCAGTAAGGCTGGGTTGTGTCATGTAGTACTTATCTGTCGTCTTTCTTTTTTTCTTAATGAATGATCAGGCTGTATCGTAGTCAGACAGAAGTCATGCTGTATTAGGCCAACAGTTATCTTTAACCACCAAACTTACAGTGCTGTAAAAGGATATGTGGTTCTTTTAATAAGGATCTTCTACTTTTAATTATTTTTTTTTCTGAGCAGAGTGCATCCTATATA